CCACCACACCACCTCAATGCCAACAGATGAAGGAGATCAACAACAACGAGCAGGTGCTCAAGAAGCAGAACCTGGAGCTCACGGAGCTGCACGAGATTCTCAACCGCACTGCCATGTTCTTCGACGAGGCAGAGAGCGCAACAGCCGCCCTGTCCGCGGACACTGCAGAGTGAGTTGTATTGGGAAGAAAAGAGATGAGGGGAGACGGGGAAGCAAGTAGGAAGGGTGGAGAGATGTTGGAGGAGGGGGGCCGGAAGAAAACGGGAGAGAGCGGCAAAAGTTGGGGGGGGGTTGTCGGTAGGCCTGACCGTGTGGCCCGTGTGTTGGATGAGCTGTGCTTGAAGCAGAACACACATACATTTGCCTTTGATTTTGTTGCTCCTCTCTCCTTGTCCCTTCGACCGTGCACCGTGCCCTCACCTCCTTGGCTGCTTGTCCTCATCATCCCGCCTCACCTGCACCAGCTCCTCCAACACGCCGCTGCTTGAGGCTGACGAGCGCTCCGGGCAGCTTGCGTTTGTGACGGGTGTGATTGCGCGCGAGCGTGTGCCCGGCTTTGAGCGCCTGCTGTGGCGCGCGTGCCGCGGTAACGTGTTCCTGCGTCGCGTGCCCATTGACGAACCCGTGCACGACCCGACAACTGGCGACGAGATCCACAAGGAGGTCTTCATCGTCTTCTACCAGGGTGAACAGCTCGGCAACCGCGTCAAGAAGATCTGCGAGGGGTAAGCAGGCGGGGGGGGACGATTAAGTGTGGCTATGCATGTGCAAGAGGTGTGGGTGTGTGTGAAGAGGTGTGTGGGTGTGTGTGAAGAGGTGTGTGCGCGCGCATGCATTGGTAAGTGAGTGTGCGGCACGTTGTGCCCTCTCTCCCTTTCCCCCAAACACACACACGCACGCACACAATGAACACATTTCTGCTCACACGCGCATTCCACATGTGCTGGGTGGCGATGCAGGTATGATGCGACCATCTACCCGTGCCCAAACCTTCCCTCCAAGCGCCGTGAGCTTCGCGAGGGCGTCAAGACCCGTATCCTCGACCTCCAGAACGTAAGCAGGTTTGCATGACACAGCGAGCCACACCATCCGCCTCCCTTGGCGCGCGTTTTCCTCCCCATTTCTTCGTTTCTGTTGCCATTTTTCTTTCTCTGGTGCCGTTTCTTTATCCCTTCGCCTTCCCCTCCTGGTCCATCCCCATCCTTTGTTGTCACCGCTCTCCACCTTCATGGCGCGGCCACACCGTACCGTGTGCTGTGAATATGATTCCACTTCTGAGCGAACACCAAACGTTCTGCTGGTTCTACTGTACTGTGTGCACTTGATTGCTCTCTTCCCCACGTGCTTGCACAGCCCAAGTAACTCGCAACACCTCCTCCTCCTGCGTTATCTCAATGGCATTCTTTTCTTTCTTTTTTTTTTTTTTTGCACTTGTATTCCTTCCTTTTGCTCCCCCGTTGCCATCTCCAACGTCATGCCAATCCTCCCCTCTGTTCTCATTGCTATCACATCACCACCACCGTCGTCGCTGCTGTCGCCACCACTTTGACCCTCATCACCACCATCAACACCATCTGCGAACACATCAGGTGCTGCACCGCACGGAAGACCACCGCCGGCACGTGTTGTCCACCATTGCCTTCAAGCTCGGCGGCTGGATTGTCCAGGTCAAGAAGATCAAGGCAATCTTCCACACCATGAACAAGTTCAACGTCGATGGCACTCGCAAGGTACAGCTCGTGTGGTGATGCACTGGGTGTGGTGTGTGTGCGCGCGCGCGTAGTTACGCATGCGCTGCTTGTTTTTCTGTTTTGCTGCTGTTGAATCCCATTTCATGTTACCAGCTCCCGTCCATCCATCGCTATGTTCCCATCCCCACCTTACACCATCCCCTCACTCCCACACCATCACACACCACCATATGCACACAGAGCCTGATTGCGGAGGTGTGGTATCCGCTTGCGCGCGTTGATGAGATTCAGCATGCGCTGCGCGTGGGCACGTCCCGCGCCGGCAGCGACATGCAGGCCATCCTTAACGACATTCCCCACGACAGCAAGCCCCCGACGGCCTACTTCACCACCAAGTTCACACGCGGGTTCCAGTCCATTGTCGATGCGTACGGTGTTGCAACATACCGCGAGGTCAACCCAGGTGCGTCCAAAGCAGGGTGTTACGTGAATAGTCGTGGTGTTGGTGGTGTTGGTGTGCGTATGTGTTTGGCGTGTGCGTGTGTGTTTGAGTTGCATGATTGATGTGCGCGCGTTTTCTTTCTCATAAACTCTCTCTTTGTTATGTTGTTATGTTTCACGCCCTCATCCCATTTCCACATACAACACATGTTCACGCGTCGTCGCATGTCGTGCGTGTTTGCATGTGCAGGTCCCTTTACCATCATCACCTTCCCGTTTCTGTTTGCGGTGATGTTTGGCGACCTCGGCCACGGCTTCCTGATGATGCTTGTCGCGCTTATGCTCGTCCTCAAGGAGAAGTCGCTCAAGAACTTTGACGGCGGCGAGATTTGGGACACCATGTTCAACGGCCGTTACATCATCCTCCTCATGGGCCTCTTCTCCATGTACACCGGCTTTGTCTACAATGACATCTTCTCAAAGGCCCTCTCCTTTGGCAGCGGGTGCGTTGGTGCTTTCTGTGTTGTGTTGTGTGTTTGTGTGTGTGGTTGCGTGTGTGCGTGTCTGTGAAAGTTGGTGTGTGTGCAAGTGTGTGTGAGTGTGAGTGAGGATGTCATTCACTCTTTCTTTTCTTTTTCTTTTTTTGCTGTTTTGTTGGCGTTGTTGCAAACCGTCCTCCCTCGTCATCTTGTCTTCACGCGAGTGTCATTCCATACGTTACTCACCGTCCCTCAAACCTGCTGTTCCTGTAACGCTGCCGTTCCTGTAACCCCCCCCCCCCGGCCCTTCGTCCCATTGATTGGCAGGTGGTCCATCTCTGAAGAGGAGATTCCCATGAACATCACTGGCAGCGCCACGCTTGAGCTTCGCGCTCCTTACCTTGATCTGAACGGCACGCTTCACAATGGCGACCTCAGGCACGCGTACGCCTTTGGCATCGACCCCGTACGTACCGCATCTTACTGCTTTGCGTGGGCGTGTGTGTGCGTGCGTGTGTGTGTGTGTGTGTTGTGCTGCTCGTGTGCGTGTGTATGAGTGTGTGTATGTGCTTTTGCAGGTTGTAGTCCAAGTTGTTGTGTTTCTGTGCACTCGCCCCATACATTGCCCTGCTCTGGCGTTTCAACTCACCGTGCATCGCATTCATGCCACCCTGCACCCCCGTGCTACAAACTCCTCAGATGTGGCAAGTCTCCGAGAACAAGCTGACGTTTACCAACTCGTACAAGATGAAGCTCTCCGTCATCCTCGGCGTCCTTCAGATGCTCTTTGGTGTCGTCCTCAGCCTCTTCAACCACAGGTGCGCGTGTTTGCGCTGAGATGTCACTGGGGTGCCGAAGGTTGAGCGCACTATGTGGGCGCAGTATTTGCTGTCTTTTTTTTTTGGGGGGGGGGGGCTGCGTCTCTGTGAACCATTTTGTCCTGACCTCGAGCATGACCCTGTGTGGTGTTGATGCCGCTGCTGCCGCTGCTGCGGACAACAGGTTCTTCAAGAAGTCGCTTCGCATCTGGCACGAGTTCATCCCGCAAACGCTCTTCCTCAGCTGCATCTTCGGTGCGTTGCGTGTCTTTTGACTATTTCCTGGCGGGTTTTGTGACCTTGTCTCCTTAAACTGCCTTATTTTTATTTATTTTTATTTTTATTTTTGTGTGTGTGTGTGTGTGTGTGTGTGTGTGTGTGTTGCTTTGTTGCTCGCATCTTGCTTTATCGCACGTGTCATCCTCATTGCTCACACTTCCATGCCATCATCATTCATCGCTTCTTCTTCCCTCATCCTCGTCACCACCGCCACCGCTACCATCGTCATGACCATCGCCGCCGCGCAGGCTATCTTGTGATTTGCATTCTGTACAAGTGGTCGACGCCGCTGGACGATTTCCCCAACCAGAGCGCGCCCTCGCTGCTGATTATGCTCATCAACATGTTCCTCCGCTTTGGTCTGCCCCCGCCCAAGGAGCAGGTCCTCTACGGCGACAAGGTGTGTGCGTGTGTGCGTGTGTGCGTGCGTGTGTGTGTGTATCTTTGCTTGCAGCACGTGTTTTTGTTGTTGCATCATGCATTGGTACACCTTCATCTCACTCGTCGCTGTCGTCCGCACTGCGTTGTTTCTTTCTGCTTCCATGTCTCTGTTTTGCAGGAGGGTAACCTGCAAGGCAAGGTGCAGATGGCGCTCGTTGTGATTGCGGTGGTGTGCGTCCCCTGGATGCTCCTTACCCGGCCCCTCATCCTCCGATCACGCCAGAAGCGCCGCGAACGCGAGGGTAAGACAAAATCACCACCTGCTGCCTTGCACGCCTGTTGGCTGCCACACTGTCCGAGAGCCTTCTCTTTTCCTTCTCTTGTTCCTTTTGCTTCTTCTTCTTCCTCTTCCACTTCTTCCACCCTCTCTTCATTGCTTTCCTTTCCTTGCTTCATTTCTTTCTTCCCCACATCTCTTTCTCTTTTCTCTTCGCCTTCCCCTCCTGGCCCATCCCCATCCTTTGTTGTCACCGCTCTCCACCTTCATGGCGCGGCCACACCGTGCCGTGTGCTGTGAATATGATTCCACTTCTGAGCGAACACCAAACGTTCTGCTGGTTCTACTGTACTGTGTGCACTTGATTGCTCTCTTCCCCACGTGCTTGCACAGCCCAAGTAACTCGCAACACCTTCTTGTTGTTCTTGTCCTCAAACGCCCTTGTTCTTCTTCCCTCTCCGTTCTTCTTCCGTCTTCCCCTCTATTATCGTTTTCTTCTTTTGGACCTGTTGCTTGCATGTGCAAGTGCTTTTGGGTCTGCAAGCAGCCAAGCCAGGCGTCCTTGTTTTGTAGCGTTGCATGTGTGTTAACTTGTTGCGCCCTTTTGTTTTGCATTCGATAGCTGAAGCCCGTGTGCGTGCAGGCATGCTGCAGGGAAGCGACGACGACCACGACGATGGCCATGGCGACGAAGAGGTGTGTGTGTGTGTGTGTGCGTGGGTGTGGGTGTGTGTGTGTGTGCGTGTGTACGCGGGTGATGACTGCCGCTTTGTCATTGCTCGTCTTGTTCAGCAACTCACTCTCGACGTGCCTCCCATTCTTGCATCAGCACTCGTTTGGCGAGATGATGGTGCACCAGGCCATCCACACGATTGAGTTTTGCCTTGGCTGCATCTCCAACACGGCGTCATACCTTCGCCTGTGGGCCCTGTCGCTTGCGCACGCCCAGCTGTCCGAGGTGCTGTGGGACATGGTGCTGCACAACGGCTTTACCAGCTGGTACCTCCTCTTTTGCGCATTTGCCGTCTGGGCCGTCCTCACCATTGGCGTTCTCCTCATCATGGAGGTGCGTGCGTGTGGATGATATGTGTGTGTGCGCATGTGTGCGTGTGCGTGCTTGTGTGTGCGTGTGAATGATATGTGTGTGCGTGTGTGTTCGTGTGGGTGGGTGTGCGTGCGTGCTTGTGGGTTCGGATAATGACGTTTTCGTGTGTATGCTGAACCCATTTGACTGCTCTGTTGACGCTGCTTGGTGGGAACGGGGACAACCAACCCCCCCCCCCCCTTCCCCCCAAACCTCCATCCATACGACATTCACACATGCACATTGTTTCTGTATCCATCTCCTCCTCCTCCCCCCCCCTCCTCTTCCTCCTCCTTCCCTCCACCAAACAGGGCTTGTCTGCGTTCCTGCACGCGTTGCGTCTGCACTGGGTCGAGTTCCAGAACAAGTTCTACGATGGCAACGGCTATCTCTTCACCCCCTTCCACTTTGAGTGCGTTGTCTCGCGTGTGCAGCGAGTTGCGTGCTGTTTGGGAAGCTTCTCTCTGCGTCCCCCCCCCCTGCCCCATGTTCCACTGCCACATGCTCGCACTCCTCTCACCTCATGTTTTCTGTTCGTGTCGTGAATTGATTGAAATGCCACCATTTTTTGTTTATTTTTTTGCAGGCGCGTGCTCAAGGGCCAGGATGATGACGCAGCGTAGACGAGTGGCCCTCTTTTAGTTTCTCTTTTGTCTTGCCTCCCCAGCACACACCTCCACACACTTTCGCCTCGGCGCTGTTGGCTACGTGCCATGCACACACACACATGCACACACATGCATACACTCATACGCCCACACATGATGTTCCCCTTTCCTTTGTGTTTATGTTTGTTCTGAGACTACGAAGACCTGAGACTCTCCCTCCCCACACCTGTGTCAACAACAACATGTTCGCACCACCACCACCACCAACAACAACAACAACAACAACAACAACAACAACAACAACAACAACCAAACACTGTGCTCACTCAAGTAAACTACCCACACCTCGATCAGCGCGTCAAAAGACGTGAAGGGCCGGGGCTTGCCACCGCCGACGCGACACGACAGACAGAAAAGTTTGACAAAGTTCTGAAGAGTGGGCATATCTTCAAGAAATAATCGCAATAATGACGACACCATTTATGCCTTTGTTCTTCACGGTGGCGGCGTTGTGCGAACACACCACACACCAACAATAACAACCCTCTCCCTCCTCCCCCTTCCCCCCCCCCCACACACACACGTCAACCGGTGCAGGATGATGCTGGGGCGGCGCATCACTGGGATGATTGGCGCAGTGCTGCTGGTGTCGCTGCTGGTGAATGGGCTCATGTATGCGCGGCACTGGCAGTCCACGACCGCGTCGCCAGTTCACGAGAGCGCCCTTGAGCATGCACGACGGCAAGCTGAGGAGCAGCAGGATCGTGCACAGGACGCGCTCCTGGCAAAAGCCGACCTGGAGAAGAAGCACGAGGACGCGCTCAAGGCGCTCGAGGCCGAACGCCAACGCCACGAGAACGAGATCCAGCAGCTCAAGGACAAAATTGAACACATCCACGACAACCACGACCAACAACAGCAGCAACGCGACAATGATGAGCAGCAACACAACAACAACCAGCAGCAGCACCACAACAACAACAACTACCAACAACAGCAGCAGCAGCAGCAGCAGCAGCAGCAGCAGCAGCAGGACCAGAGCAACGAGGAAAGGCACAGTGAGAACGAGAAAAGACACAGTGAGAACGACAACTTGCCAGGCGCCGTGCGCAGGGTGTTTGACGATCGGGCGGGAACATGCAAAGCAGAGACCAAGATTGTGTACGTCAAGACACACAAGACCGGGTCCAGCACGCTCACCAACATCTTCCACCGCTTTGCGTATAAGCACAGCCTCAAGGTGGTGCTGCCCAAGAGCAACGTCTTCCTCGGGTGGCCACGCAGCGCGGGCATCCCCACCTCGTACGTGCCGCTGCCCGGCGCAGAGGGCAACTACGACATCTTCTGCTCCGCACACACGCGCTACAGCCGCAAGTACATTGAGCCCATCGTGCCCAACGCCAAGTACATCACCATCTTTCGCGAGCCCACCTCACACTTCAAGTCGTCGTGGAGCTACTGGAACGTGCCCTCGCACATCAAGCGCGTCTCCGGCATGAGCGTGACGATGGAGGAGTTCCTGAAGGACCCGGAGACGTGGTTCCCGCGCGGGCTCAAGGGCGACAGGGACCTGCTGCACAACAGCTTTGCCTTTGACTTTGGGTTTGATCACACGTACACGCAGGCGGAGGTGGACAAGCTCATCGCGCACCTGGACACGTTCGCCCTCGTGCTCATCACGGAGTACATGGACGAGAGCCTGGTGCTGATGAAGCGCAAACTGTGCTGGGAGCTGGAGGACGTGGTGTACTTTGCCCTCAAGGTGAACAAGCGCAAGCCGAAGAAGTCGCTGCCCGCAGACGTGCGTGAGCGCATCCTCAAGCTCAACTGGGTGGACGCGCAGCTGTACGACCACTTCAACAAGACGCTGTGGAGGGAGATTGCGCAGGAGAAGAACTTTGCGGAGGAGGTGGCGGCCTTCAAGCAGCTCAAGGAGCAGCTGTCCACGCAGTGCGAGCGCTGGGCCACGTGGAACGAGGACCAGCACCGCAAAGCGCTCTTGGAGGAGGAGGGGAAGCCGCTGCCGCCCAAGCAGAAGCAGTGCCACCTGGCGCAGATGGACAGCGTCGGCTTTGTCAAGTTTCTCAAGCAGATTGCGGGCGTCCCCGACAAGGAGTGCAGCACGCAGGGCCAGCCCAAGAAGAAGATTGTCTATGTCAAGACGCACAAAACTGGCTCGAGCACGCTTACCAACCTGCTGCACCGCTACGTCCACAAGTACAACCTGCGGCCCGTCCTGCCCAAGAACGACATCTTCCTGGGCTACCCGAACAAGGAGGCCCTCATGTCCTCGTACGTCAAGCTGCCGCCCGTGCACGGCAAGGACGAGTACGACGTGCTGTGCAGCGCGCACTCCATCTACGACCGCCCGCGCATGGACAAGCTCGTGCCCAACGCCGCCTACATCACCGTGCTGCGCGACCCGGCCACCCAGTTTCTGTCGTCGTGGAAGTACTGGCACGTGACAGACCACATCAAGTCGCGCACGGGCAAGGACGTGACGCTGGAGGAGTTTGTGGACAACCCAAACGCGTACCGGCAGTACCTGTCCGAGGGCGACCATCGCCTCATCCACAACTCGATGGCGGTGGACCTGGGCCTGTCCAGCTCGCCGACGCGGGAGGAGGTGGAGACGCTCGTGCGCGACCTCAACTACCACTTTGACATGGTGATCATCACGGAGTACTTTGACGAGTCGCTCATCATGCTGCGGCGGCAGCTGTGCTGGGAGAAGGAGGACATCCTGTACCTCTCGCTCAAGGTCAGCAAGCAGTCGAAGAAGGGCGGATACGAGGTGCCGGCTGCCTTCCGCGCCAAGGTTGCGCAGTACAACTGGGCAGACGCGCGGCTGTACGACGCGCTGAACCAGACGCTGTGGTACCGCGTGCGCCACGCCATTGGCTTCCAGCAGGAGCTCGACTGGCTGCGGCAGGAGAAGGAGCGCATTGCGGACCTGTGCCAGCCGTTCACCACCATGGGCGACAACATGCACCGCAAGGCCGTCATGGAGCACCCGGACAGCGTGGACGAGGACGAGCAGCTGTGCCACCTCATGATGCTCGACTCGCCAGGCTTTGTCAAGATGCTCAAGGCAAAGTACGGCAAGGCGGACCAGGAGTGCCACAACCAGCCGCGCGATCCACGCTCCATCGTGCTCTCCTCCGTGCTGCGCACACCGCCGGGCCTGGCCATTGCACGCGTGGCGCAGCGCATGCAGCTCACGCGGCCAACGCGCACCGTCGTCGCTGCCGAGGGCGTGACCAGCATCGGGTGGCCCGAACACGCCACGACGGAGGCCGACCTGAAGGCGCGCGTATGGAACAGCGGGTCGCGCGGGCCGGGCACGTTTGTCGGCGTGGATGTGCCGCTGAACAAGAAGCTGCTTGCCTCTGTTGTGCACAACCCGTACATTGTGATTGTGGTGGCCAACCCCACGGTGACGCTGGCGACGGTGTGGGACGAGCTGGGCGCGGGCGATGTGCTGCGCGAGGCGACTGGTGGTGATGTGTCGTTTGCCGACTACGTGCGCAGCCCATCGACATATGCCTCGCACCTCGACTCCACCACGGTGGCCCGGCTGAAGAACCCGCTGGCCCGTGCGCTCGGGTACAATGGCGACGGCAGGCGGTCGAGCGTGAACACGTTTCTGCGCGACCTGACCAAGGAGGTGGGCACGTTTCTGATTGGCGACCACTTTTACGAGTCTGTAGTGCACTTCCGCCGCGTGTTCTGCCTGCCGAGCGACGCGTTTGTGGTGGAGGAGCCCGAATTGCCGCCACACGTGGAGGAGGACTGCAAGGACAGGACGGTGATGAAGGCCGTGGAGGCGCACAGCCCTGTTGACGCAACCATCTTCAGCACGCTCAACTCGACGTTCTTCCGACGGCTGCAACGGGAGGTGCTGCTGGAGAGCGAGATCAGTCAGGTGAAGAAGCACACCGC